ATATATATATATATATGACTAAATAAAAATTGTATTTAAATATTATGCCATTGATATATTTGCTTCCACTCAAGCATAAACTAAAGCAGAGTCCAACACTAGTCAGATATTGCCTTCAGAGGACTGCTTTATTTATCCAAGGTGCTTACACATACACACATGTGCATGAACTCACACAAACACATGCAAACATTAACACACTTAGAGACACAGAGAACTAATATTTGCTCGTTTACCAATAATTTGCTTAAAAAGTATATAGAAATTCTAAAAATTTTCATTTAGGATGTCTGTATCTTGGTAATATACAATTAAGTAAATATAAATAAATATTATTTATTCATAAAAAAGCATTTGACTATACAGAGTTTTGGTTAATGGACTAAAGCTATAAATCATGTTTGCATGTGTGTTTATGCACACATGCAGGTGCATAAATGCATGCATGCATGTGTGTGTGTATTATCCCAAACAAGGCAATTGAAACATTTAGTTTCTTTTTGTCTTTCCTCTAGGAAGTTGTGTATTTAAAATGAGACATGTACTTCTTTTGTATATGAAGCAAACATGGTTATTGGAAAAATAAAACAAAATGAGTAACACCAATATTAATAAGGGGTGACTTAAGATTTTCAACTAATTCTAATCTCTTCTATCAAACCAATAATGTGTACACATACATGTGTACACTTTTGTTCCAATGCTCAGATTACTAGGTTAATAAACATTTTTCCTAAATATTTATTAATACCTTAGGACTAAAACTACTTGCATGTCTCATACTTATTGTAGGTCACATTATGTTATTTACTTTTACTATCTTCCAATGTTTTTTACTTCATTTAACTATATACTACAATTTTTTAACAATTATACTGCATATAATGTATGGATATATATGTATGTATATGTATATTTTAATTTCTATATCTATATATGTTCTTCATTGTTTTATTTATTAAGTTATGAGAAAGAAAAAATTAAGTAGTATGTGTGAGATCTGCTCTTGCCAGTATACCTACATGTTGGAGGACCCTTGAGAAAGAAGGCAAGTAAACTAGTCAAATTTTCTTGAACATCCTTATTAAACATAATAACAACAAAAGTCCTGGCAAACAATGCAGTGGAATTAGCTATTGAGAATGAGCTTATCTATAGCATCTTTTTACTTGAATGCACTTCATTGTCTAAGGCAATGATAAACAAACCTGGAATCTGGAGACTTATGAAACAGGGTTCCCTGAAAAATGGCTCTCTTCTGTCTTACTTATGTGGCTGTGCCATTTACTTGCAGAAAATCATGTGTTAGTCTGATTTAGAATGCATGTAAATGATCAGAAAGGACTTGTGGAGCTGCTGGAACATCCTGGATCTCTCCCTGCTTTACTTATTTCATGGTTATGTGTATCCTGAAAATTTTAGCAAAACTTGAGACTGATTTGTTACTAAATACTTGTCTAAATTTAAAATAGGTTTATATTTAACCAAGTTTTTAGTAACAAATTGACAATGGGAACATGTCTTTTTTATGGTTTTTGGATTATGCTGTTGTAACAAACTCCAAAATGCGGTATTAAGGACCCTTTATTTCCATTTTGGCAGGATATGACATGATATAAGGTATGATTGTTTTAGCCAGAAAAATGAGAAAAAAGGGAGCATTATTATCAGTTTTTCCTGAAAAAAAAATATTTATATGTGTGTATTGTTATTCCAAGTTTTTTTTTTTGTTTGTTTGTTTTGTGTTTTTTTTTTTACATAAAAGTATTTGACGGCTGACCAATTTGCCCATTAGGAGAAAATGCCAGTTTAAGACACAGCAATTTTCCCAATGTAATATAATTTTACCTATACACTTGTGTTTGTGTTTCTAACTATTCATGTGACAACCAAGTTCAAATAATGCATGGAATAATGTCAATGAATCATTTACCCTCTTTGACAAAGAATTAAAACTGATACATAAAAGGAAGCAATAATACATTTGAAAATCTCATTCAATGTATGTAGTACTCCACATTTGTTTTAAACTGAGATCATTTATTTAAATGTCAATGGAATATTCAAAGATAAGTAGCTTTTTGTTTTTACTGGTATGAAAATGATTAATTGATAAAATAATAAGGAAAGCAGGTGATTTATCTGTAACTATTAAATTACATTGTTTTGGGAAAAGGGTATTTTTAAATGTGATAAAACACAATATTAGGGCTTGCTGGTTTGCTTCTTTGGTTAGAGTGTGGTGTTGTAACATCAAGGTCAAGGGTTTGGATCATCTTAAAGGACAGCCACACACACACACACACACACACACACAAAGAAAATGAAAAAGAAAAATAACAATATCTGATATAGAAGGGTACATAGAGGTAAAAAAAACATTGAATTCTTTTATTGTAGCAAGTACTTTCACAGAAGTTATATATAGACACACTAACCTGTTTTAGGATCTACAGAGAAGTAGGGCTGTCCCTGGAGAATACTGTAAACCACCCGAGCGCTGTTTCCATAGGTAGGGTCATCTGCATCAGTAGCTGTCACCTGTAGAACAGAGGTACCTGTGCATTCAGGAAAACAAGTTTTAGTGTTTGATGGCATTTAACATGTGATTAATTTGAACACAGAAAATGGGCATGCTGAAATATCTATGGAGAGCTATAATAAATGTGTCCTACTAAATTTAATCCTTTATGTATCAAACACATCCCTTGTTTTCTTTCCTTCCCATCAACTATACTGCGAGTCCAAAATATAATATTTGTTCTCAGATATTTTAATAAGGCTCTTTATGTGCTGATTAACATTGTAAAGGATCTCTTATGACCTTTACATAAGCAGGATTGGGTTGGACTAATGCTTATAAATTAAATTGGTGTTAACTATGCATTAAATCAAAGGTGTGGCGAGGATGTGTGTATATAACATGCTTCATGACTATTCAGAAAACTGGAGGTGGAATGGTTTGTGATCAAGGTGGGAAGGTGGGTGAGTTGACATTAAATTATCAAAGGCATCAAAACAGCCAGTTCAAGTCATTTTCCATTATCCATTCCCTTTTCATTTCTTACCAGGACTAATACTGAGTCTCTAAACTGTTCTCCTAGGTTCAAATTTTATTCCTTTAGTTTCTTCTACACAATCCCCACATAGTTATTTTTTTAAAATAGATATAATATGTCTATAGCATTGATTTTTGATTATTAAAATGTATTTTAAAGTATTTTATATATTTTACTATACTTTGAGGTACCAAAATTAGAGGATCGTTATCCTTACATTTTTAAAACACAGGTTGCATAGTTTGATACATCCATATCATATTTCAGTTATTCCTAAATAAAAACTCATCTAAGTGTGACATGACAGCCCTTTATTATGGGCTATTCAACTTTATTGTACAATTACTGGGTAAGAGCTCATTTATTCATGAAATGTACTTGATAAATCATCTAAAAATGCACATTTGAAATTTTATTGTTCGTGACTAGAAAATTCTACCAACAAATTTTGGTTATGTAACAAAAATATTTCCATAATCAAGTGATGCTGTATGAATTTTTGCATATATTTTGGTACTTGAATATTGAAGCACTGACAATTTTCAGTTTTTTATTCATTATTTCAATGATTGAGTGTTTAATTTTTGTTCAGCTACAAAATTTGTACTTCTGAGATGATTTGGGTGGAACCTTAAGGAATACCTGTTCTGTGTCTTCAAGGGCTCCTAAAAAATTTGATAGAATTAGTGTATCACGTTCATCTGACAATCCTTATAAGCAGATCTTAAAAGTATAGAGACTTCTAATAATAATAATACACTATGATTCTAGCTTCTCAGTAGTCTTTTTACATTGAAATTCTAAACGGAGATATTCATAATTATCCATACTCAGAAGGGAAGGACTATGTTCTATTTCAAAGCAATCTCAAATTATAGACTAATAAAACACAATAGTGTCACTAAATGCTGGGAAGAATGCTGAAAAATTGGATTACTCATTGTAATCCACTGCTGGTGGAAATGTGAGAGTTAGGAAATTTCTTATAAAACTACATACACACTTACCATACAACCTAGAAACTTATGTACACATAAAAACCTTTCAACAAATAGTTATAGCAGTTTTGTTCATAATAATCCCAAACTGGAAACCATCTTAATGTCCTTCAATGGGAGAATTGTTAAACAAAACGTGGTACATGTATACTATGATATACTACTCAACAATGAGAATGAATGGACTATTGATAAATGCAACAACTCAGATAAATTTTCGGGCGATCAACTGAGAGTAAAACAATCCAACCCCCAAAGGTTATATATGGTATGATTTTATTCATATAACATTTTTGAAATGACAAAATTTTAGAAATAGGTAACAGATGAGTAGTTGCCAGAGGTTTGGGGAGAGAGACTAGAGGGAGGTATGTTTGGCTATAGTAGGGCAACATGAGGGATCCTTGTGATGTTGGAAGTGTTCAGTATTTTGATTATGGTGGTGAATGCATGAATATATACAGGTAATGTAAGCACTCTCATACACACACAAAATTGCACAAGTAAAACTAGGGAAATCTAAATAAGATTGATAAATTGTATCATTTCAATAACTTGGTTATGATATTGTTTTACAGTTTTGCAAGCTGTTATGGTAGGGAAAAAGTGGGTAAAGGGTACAAGGAATCTCTTCATATTTTTAGTCACAACTGCATGTGAATCTATAATGATCTCAAAAATTACAAGTGTTAGAAAAGCAAACAAAGATGTGATCTGGCTTCAATGTTAGTCCATTCTTAGAGAACTTTATTTGATCTTACGTGTACTGTTAATATCTGGCGTGATTAAATCAATTTCCACCATAACCTTTCCAGAGCTGGTCACATATATACTATCTCTTCCACTATGAAGTGTGATTACTGTAATTAAAATATATTAAGGACTTTTTATGGGTTGGTACAGCACTTGCTCCATACTAAATATCCATCCCTCTAATTTGTTCAGAGAATACCACTAGGGAGACATTTACTAATAAGAATTCAGAGGCATTTTCATTTGTACATCACACACAAAAAATAATCTGTTGTTAGGTACACAGATCACATTCTAGGTATGGAATAAGCTTATAAAGTGGCTAAAATGTTATAGAATTATATCAGTCGAATATTTGATCTGATAGAAAAAAAATGGTAATAG